TCATCCTCTTGATCCTCCCACATGGTTCTGGCGAGCTAAGAAAATGTTTGTCTCCCTGAGCCTGACCTTCATAATTCCATTCCATCACATTGGCACCTTGATGATGTTCCCTGAGTGACTGCCAATTATTTTTGGATCTATTTATTTTCTATTTATTAATAGTATATTGTAATTTTGTAATTTTAATTGATTTTAACTGTTTTGTAAACCGCCCAGAGTCGTTTCAATGAGATCGGTGGTGACAAATTTGATTAATTAATTAATTAATTAATCAAATATGCTTCTTGAGCTGGGGTCCATAAGGGTGTTTCCGGGCACAACCTGGGTTTATATCTATTCCACACTGTCAATATGGCAGAGTTTTAATCAGCTCTTTTTTTCTCCAAAGAGATCTTTCTTACATCTATGTAACTACCAACTCAGCAAACTTCTTTTGTTTTTCAGAACTCTTAAGCCAGCGTAAGTTAGCAGAGAAATGAGGAGTTTTACTTAAGAGTAGTTTATATAGATAAGGAAAGCAGAAATCAATAATAATATATTCAAGAATACATATGTACCTTCAAGAGAAAAAAGCTACAAGGATGTGTAACCTCCATGACATAGATTTTCACATAGAGATAACATCTCTATCACTGGTACTGCTATCATTGCTTCTCAGATGTCAGCCCTCCATTAAGTGTTGCCCAACATATTTGCTGCACTGTAATTTCTAGGGACTATAATTTCTATGGAATGGTACATCTGAGTTGAGAAAGACTGCCTAAGCTCTACTACAACAATATAAAATTATCAATTGGGTATTTTCCACCCATCTAGAGATTTTTTTTTAAAAAAATACAACTTTTATTAAGAATTTTTGATTACAATAGTAAAAGCTAATACAAACTAAACTTAAAGAGAACAGGGAAAAAAAAAGAATAAAAAGTGTAGGAAAAAAAGAAAAAGAAAAAAAGAAAATATAACAGAGAAAGAGAAAAGAAATATATAAAGTGACTTCCAACCTTCATCACAACAAATATAAACCAATTTAGTAATTCTTCACCCCCTATAAGGTTACAAACAGAGATCTCTTCATCCCATATCTCTTCCCTTATCAATAAGCAAATCCATAAAACATCAACTTTTCAATCCTGGTGTTAGCAAAATTTCATAAAGCGTTGCCAGAACTTTGAAAAAAA